GGTGGTATGTTGCTCTGTTTGCATCTGGTTGCTGGTGGCTGCAGCTTTTGGTGTTGTTCTCAGAGACTTGGGTGGGTTTCAGAGGGCTGCACAGTGTTCGGGATGCTTATGCTTGTTCAGTAGGAGCAGCAGTGATTGGGTGTGCACCTTGGTGTATACCAGTTGTGTGCTCTTGCTGAGGGTGTGTGCATTAGCATCAGGCTGCTGAGGGTGCTAGTTATGGTCAGTTTCAAGTTGAATACACCTTGGTTTTTGGTCTGTTGGCCAGGTCTTTTGGTCTGTCTAGTTATGCTATTAAGCCAAGCTTGGCCTGTATCTTAAGTTGAATTCACCACTGTTTTTTAGCACCATGTTTAGTCCAAGTCTTAATTCACCAGTGAGGTGCTTACCATGGTCTGTGATTAGGAGAAAGCTGAACTTTTTGAGGGCAAGTCTGATTGGAAGGGTAGATCAACTATGAAGGACAAACATGTGTGGTTGCTGGTCTGGTTCTGCTGCCTATTCAAGATCTCTGAATACAAGGCTGCTACGGGCCTTGTTGCTGTATTGTTGCTAGCTTAGAACTGTTAAGGCTGCTCTGGTTTGTGCAGATAGTAGGATGGGAGTTGTAATGCTATTGTTGCTACTGTCTTGGTTGGGGTAGAATGCTGCTGGTTTGGTGGTTTGCTGTTGTATGGTGTTAAGTGCTGGTCTGGCAGACTGCTGCTGTATGGTGTTGTGCAGATAGTAGGAGGGAGTTGTAATGCTATTGCTGGTAGTATTTTGGTTGGGGTAGTCTGCTGCTGGTCTGGTAGACTGCTACTGGTGCTGCATTGGTTGCTTGATTGTAGCTTATTGCTGCTGCTGCATTGGTTGATTTGTTGGAGATGCATTGGGTGTTGTTGCTTTGCTGGATGTATTGTTGTTTTTTGTTTTTTCCCTTTATCTTGTTTTGGTTGCTTCTGATTGGTTTCTCACCAATCTTGGGCTAGTGTTAGCATATGATTGTGCTTCTTTTGCGGTGCCAACTTAATTGGGATCGTTAAGTTTAGCTTTGATGCTTAGTGCACTCACCCGCTTTGTTGATATAATTTATGCATGTTTTGTGCTTTATATCAATAAAAAAATTTTGCTGATAAAAAAAAAAAAGAAAAAGAAAAGAGGAGGAGAAGAAGGATAGTATTATAGTATGCACACATATTTGGGATTAAAACTCCAGCCTTTCATTTCACTGCACAACAAAAACAACACAAGTCACAAGACTCTAACTGTGATCTCTTAAAACAATAATTTTTTTTGTCAATCCCATTAAACATGGACCTAGGATGCTGTCTAGCCTGCTCTGACCTCTCGTGGAGAGTTAATACCGGACTTCCTTCCATAATTTAAATGGTTCATATCATAGGATTCACAACTATCGTGTTTATCAAAAATTATTTATAACCGAATAATCAAAGTCTAAATAAATATAGTTTATTATCAAAATTATATTTGCTGTTTATTTTTTTACAAAACAAATATAATATTGTTACGTGGTTATAAATATTTGATTAATTTGATTTTTTTCCTGCACTATTTACTTGATAAATCGTACAATATAAACAGTTTAGATTATCGAGATAAGAGTATGATATTAATCTCCATGATGGATCACAGTACCCTGTATTCCTAAACTTCGCAAAAACACAACAGACACAGACAGTAAATTAACAAATACTTAGTTTTTCATACAGACTGGGACATCCATAGCTGCCCAAACATGGTGCAAAGCAAGAGAGAGAAAGCAGATGCCATGGAAGCCATGGAAGAGTACTCACAGAACTTAGCAAGCAAGGACGTGTCACGGATTAGCAACGCACTCAACGAACCAGAAAAGGAGAAGACGACGCACACAACAAAAGCTTGGAATGTTGTTGGGAGACCTTCGAAGAAGACAGTGGGGACTGGGTTACCATCTACGTATTCAAATGGGATTATTAAGAGAAGTGTGGTGATTGTGAAGGAAGCTACCAAGATAAATTCCAAAACTCGTGTCTGGATTGGTGGGATGGAGCTCAATTTTGAGTCATCTCTTCGATTTGCAAGAAATACATATGCCATCTCTGCCTAGATCCTTTACATGGCTTTATTTTGAAGCGGTGATGATATAGAGAGCTTTAAAGATAGTTCTACAGCAAGGAGAAAAAATGAAATAAATGAAATGAAATAGTTGGGACAAAACATCCTATCACAATCGAACCTATTGCCTCGTTTGGTATAACTGTTAAAAAATATTATAGATTTTTTTTTTTTAGATTATAGCTTAACATATTTTAGATTATGACTTTAATCAGAAGTTGTTAATCTGTTTGGTCTAACTGTTGGATTATAGATTTAAGTTGCTGAGTAGTATTTGTTAAATAAGTTGTGAATTAGTTTTTTCAATTAACTTTTATTTTTTGTTATTTACTACTCGTCTACATTTCTCATAAAAAATCATAATAATAATCTATACTCCAGTTAGGTCTTTTTCTATTTTTAAAAATATAAAAAATAAAAAAATTTAAGAGTATTACCGTAAACTAACATGTCCACAACAGGAGCTGATAACTAGACGCAAGGGGTGAGCAGCTTCTTAGAATCAGCTTTTTTGAGCTAAAATAAGTTATTAGAATAAAAAACTGTTTGAAATAAATTTAACCAAACAGTTTAAAATACTATTTACTTGATAAATCGTACAATATAAACAGTTTAGATTATCGAGATAGAGTATGATATTGATCTCCATGATGGGTCACAGTACCCTGTATTCCTAAACTTTACAAAAACACAACAGACACAGACAGTAAATTAACAAATACTTAGTTTTTCATACAGACTGGGACATCCATAACTGCCCGAACATGGTGCAAAGCAAGAGAGAGAAAACAGATGACATGGAAGAGTACTCACAGAACTTAGCAAGAAAGGACGTGTCACGGATTAGCAACACACTTAGGTCATGTTTGTTTGGGTGGACATGAGCTTGGGATTGGACTAATAGTCTAATAAAATTATTAATCTGATGTTTGGTTAAATAATTGAAGTACGGACTAATTATTTTAAACTTGACTATTAGTTAAGATAGGATACATAATCCAATGGATTCGTAGTCCTAGGACTATTAGTCATGGGAATACTAATCCAGTCCGCCCAAACAAACATGGCCTTAACGAACCAGAAAAGAAGAAGACGAGGCACACAACAAAAGCTTGGAATGTTGTTGGGAGACCTTTGAAGAAGACAGTGGGGACTGGGTTACCATCTACGCATTCAAATGGGATTATTAAGAGGAGTGTGGTGATTGTGAAGGAAGCTACCAAGATAAATTCCAAAACTCGTGTTTGGATTGGTGGGATGGAGCTCAATTTTGAGTCATCTCTTCGATTTGCAAGAAATACATATGCCATCTCTGCCTAGATCCTTTACATGGCTTTATCTTGAAGCGGTGATGATATAGAGAGCTTTAAAGATAGTTCTACAGCAAGGAGAAAAAATGAAATAAATGAAATGAAATAGTTGGGACAAAACATCCTATCACAATCGAACCTATTGCCTCGTTTGGTATAACTGTTAAAAAATATTATAGATTTTTTTTTTTTAGATTATAGCTTAACATATTTTAGATTATGACTTTAATCAGAAGTTGTTAATCTGTTTGGTGTAGCTGTTGGATTGTAGATTTAAATTGCTGAGTAGTGTTTGTTAAATAAGTTGTGAAATAGTTTTTTTAATTAATTTTTATTTTTTGTTATTTACTACTTATCTACATTTCTCATAAAAAATCATAATAATAATCTATACTCCATTTTGGTCTTTTTCTATTTTTAAAAATATAAAAAATAAAAAAATTTAAGAGTATTACCGTAAACTAACATGTCCACGATAGAAGCTGATAACCAGAAGTAAGGAGTGAGCAGCTTCTTAGAATCAACTTTTTCGAATTAAAATAAATTATTAGAATAAAAAGTTGTTTCAAATAAATTTAACCAAATAATCTAAAATAACTTTTCAAAAGTTAAAAGTTATAAATTAGCTAAAAAAAATTCAAACAAACACCTATTATAAGTTGAGTTTTATAGTTTTTTTTTAGACCACTCAACCAATTCTTTTAGTAATGCTACAACCCAAATGACCGAATAAATGATCAAAGATCTAGTTGGATTGCCACCGAAAATTAGTGGGCCCCACCACTAAACAACTCTCCATCTCTCATCAGACACAGCACGCGATCTGCAAAAGAAAAAATTGAAAACCACTTTTTTCAAAGCACAAGAGTTTGTTCTCTGTGAAGATATCAGGGGCTTCTAAATCAATTTTTTGTGTTTTTTAATTTTTATTATTTTACAGAGCAACAAAAATCAACATCTCAACTATTAATTTCAACCTTTTGTTTTTTTTCTTTCAAGACTTTTAACAACCGCTATGATAGGGACCCAGGACCCCTACACCCATTGCAGGAAATTCAACTTTTAGCGGCGTTTAAAAAACGCTATTATAAGTGCCAAAAACGCCGTTAATTCTTTTTGTGATGCTTAGTACTAAACGCCGAGAACGCAGTCGTCGCTATAACTTTATGATGTTTTTAAAACGTCGTTATATTAGTATAGACGACATTTTTAAAAACGCCGCCAAATGTCCTTCTTGACAACATCCATGACGTCACTATGATATTTAGCGACATTTTTAAAACGCCGTCATATCTTTTTTTAAAAGTCTAACCGTTAGTATTTAGGATTTAAGTGGCATTTTGAAAAACGCCGTGATATCCCTTCTTCTTCTTCTTTTTTTTTTTTTTTGAAATTATGCTAATTTTATAGGATTAAACTAAAAAAATACATATAATAATACTGAATAGCACTAATATGAAATAATAACTTACATTCAAATAACAAATGCAACATTAATTCACTTTCCCATTCAATTTAATATCCAATCACCATTACCCACAAAATAACATATCCAAAAATTGAATTCACAATTCTTAACCAAAGCTACAAAATAACATTACCCTCTTCTCTCTCTCTCACCACTCCCTCCCCCATTTAACACAAAAAATAAGAAGAAAGTGAACCAAAACACCTAACTCCCCCATCAGATTAGAGGGAAAAAAGAAAAAAGAAGAAAGAAGAGAAATAAGAATCCGAAGGAAAGCCCCTATCCATCCTTCACTGTCATTCTGAATCGCTCTCCATGATGCTTCCCATGGCTTTCAATCCTCTCAGTCTCTGCCAATCATAAAACATAATAATAAACCAGGCAGAAGATCCAACCTGAATAACCATGCACTTAGCTTTAGTTTACAAGTTCAATTATTGGCTTCTAACTATAAGTTCACCAATGCATGAAATTATTTTCTAGAGTCCGTTAAGGATGTCATCTATTACCAAGAATTAGATAAAACATTTCCTTACCATTTTTTTGAGAGAGTGAAACTTACTTGTATAGATAGGCGACAATCCCAAGAATTATGCATAATATCAATACAGAAATTTCGACTGGACTTCAGCTGAAACAAATCAAAACTTTTTGTCAAATCCAGCAAAGAGATCTACGACATAGCATAGCCGAATCTCTCTCTCTCTCTCTCTCTCTCTCTCTCCCTCTCTCTCTTTCTCTGTGCAGCACACAAAGTGATGCAAATCTACAGAAAATAGAGTGGCAGCTCAATCACCTGGTTAATAGTATCCTTAAGTCTCACATTGGTGTTCTTAAGGTCAGATGCCGCATTGTCGACCTGTAGGATGTGAAGAAATACACCATTAATAATTTAAGAATACTTGTAGCTTTAGATATAACTAGGACAAGATGTGTTCTCAAACCTTAGTGTCAATCCGTCCATTAAAGGAACTTGCCTATCCATTTCCTGTATGAATTGCAAAGTCAAAAATTGATGTGCACAAAATGGGACAAAGCAATAGATACAAATGCACAAGGCAATAGCAAACCTCATTCAAATCATGGGCCATGTTTTTCAATGTATCCAAACCTTCTGATATCACTTCCAATCCTTGGTCCTGTGTGAACATCAAAGTAAAACACATTATTTTTATTTTTATTTGGAATCAATAGAACAATGAATGCATAAACCACAAAAGAACAAATCCTCATCAGAAAGAAAAGAAAAAATCATATTTCTCTCCAACTAAAAAAAGAAAAGTATTCAACTCTAAAGAATTACATGCCTGCTTCATTTTCCGCATTTCATATGCAAATGAATTTCATTGACCTGATCATGTTGACAAGCCTTGTCTAGTTTTTATATCTATACTAACCTCACCAAAAGAAAAAAAAATAATTAGTGCTACTTTATATATTAAGGACCTGAGAAATTCCTCATTAACCTAACGGTTATATATTGTAATCACATTGATAACATATTTAAATAATTCAACCGTGATTTATTGTGTTCATACCTTGATGCTTAGGAAGATGGCCCTAATGTGGAGTCAGCAAGTGACGGTTAGAAACTTGAGAGAAAGTTGCTGCACCCTGATTCACATCCTTCAAGTTGACATAGAAGGCAATTAAAGATTCAAGATATTGCATGGTTAAAGATACGAGGCACTAAAACAAGATATAAGGAAATACTTTCAAGAGAGATTGCATTTGGATAAATATTTAGCAAAAATTATTGTGGGTTTCATTATTAGGGGATACGGGTATATTGATGGCCCTTAGCGATTTTCTTTCACCAGATGCCGCTAGGTTTAAATTACTAGACTCAATGCAGAGCTCTTAGACTAATATTCATAGTAAAAACAAGAACTCTTTCTCAGGACAAACATTGGGTAAGTACAATATATATATATTTTTTTTAACAAAAGTGAGTGAGTGCAATTGGCTAGTTAGTAAAATATTTGGTCAACTTACTCAGAATTTCCTCATTGCAATTTCTCCCTTGATATCAGCATTTGATTACTTACCATACCATGGAAGAAACACCCAAATGCAGATTTTATAACAGTCCCAGGTACTTTTATTTTGCATTAGTCTGATTAATAAAAATTCCAAAGTGGTATAATATAGTCTGTTATGCGATCTTTTTAAGTTTCACATAAATGATCATATCTTACATTTGAAAATGGATGCATGGAAATGAGCTACCCCAATCATCCAACCATTACTTGAGAAAATCAATGAACAATTGACAATGAAACAATTAAAACATCTCTTGATCTTGTTGCACAACACAAAAATAACCACTAGGAAGAAACCTGTAGCAGAGATGGCCAAGTAAAATCACACTACTTACATTTTGGGGATTCGGTTGCATGTAGGCAGGCCCTGCTTGGATAGAATGATGATGCTGGCCATCATATCTAACTAGCTGAGTCCTGTTTCCGATATGTCCAATAATCTGTACACAGAAAAAGAAATATCCAGTAAGAAACATTTGCACTTGATACACTCTTTTGACAGGTATTTTAGCATCCAATCAAAGAGAACAAGTTGGAGAACAAAAGGCCCCCTTGTTTAGACTTAGGCATAGTATCAAAAAAAAAAAAAAAAAACAGATAATACTAACAAAACATTAAACAAATGAAATTTCCACAAGTGTTTCTTGTTTGTTAGCAGATGACTCAATCTGCTCAATTCTAAACACTGTTGCAACTAGAAGAGGGAGAAAACTAAGGGAAAACATCCTATAAAGTTCTCCTAACAAAACCTGGTGTTCTCAATGAACAAAATAACTAAAAGGAAATCTTGTTAATAACCAAAAATCCATTGTAGGTATTTGAAGTTTCATATGGAAGGAACAGGGCCATAACTAATAGCATTAAGTTTTCACTATTGACCTACTCTAATCTTGGCTTCACATCATAACCAACGTAAAACAAAAGAGAAAAGAGGTAAAACATGCTAATTATAAATACCATGGCATACCACAATATCTTGCGTTGTTGTACTCAAGGCCAGTTGCCACACATATGTAACATGTCTTCCAGCTAAAGGTTCAGAAGTCCAAGCAGCTTACTGCTTACCTTAATGACATGCTCAATTGTGCATACATCTGTGTATTGATTTACATATGTATGTTTTTTATGTGTGTATTCAGACCAAGATGGATTATTAGGTCAATGCCCTTACAGTTAATGGTCCTACCAAACCTTAGCCTTGCAGCAACAATGCTGCAAATATTCAAAGCATACCATTTGTCTAATAAACTCTCACTGCAATATTTCCAAACTTAAGAACATGTGAGTAGTTCTCAATGCAAGTAACCAATAGGTAGTCTTCTTTATATTACCAAATACCAAATACACAGCCAGGGCAGCAAGGACATAATCTAGGCCACACTATAATATTTAAAAGCCTTCCTACAACCTATAATAGGCCACACCATAATATTTTAAGCTATCAGTCTACAGAAAGGATGCAAAATGTTTCTGGAACTCTCGAGTTGACATGTTGATTTGTAGGATGGAATTTCATACAAAGGAAATTCAAAACCTGAGATCCTATTTTCCATTTCTTCCATGCTTCTAGGCAAATGATCTTTTCCTAAGGGTTATACACTAGTCTTAACGAGTGAAATATAGAATAAAGATCATGTCCCATATACACTAGTCTTAACCAATCAAATTTGCAATGTCTTGGCCAATAAGACCACAAATAGAGTGAGACAGACAGACAGACACACACACACACACACACACACACACACACACACACACACACACACACACACAGAGTACCGATTAAAGTTCACAAACAAAGTAGACTATTCGCCGCCATTGGAGCTTCAAATGCGAGTAATCGAGGGGTCAAAGTTCAGATCTGAGCTTCTAGAAATCACTAAATCTCTACAAATGAGGATCAAGTAAGAATGCCTTAAAACATTGATTTCATATATCTAAAGAGAGAGAGGAGAGACGGTGGAGCTCGCTACATCGCTGGTGCAGATGGTGTTGGCGATGGAGCTTCGAAATCACTTCAATGGAGCTTGGATCTAAATCTTCGATGGAGCTTGGATCTGAATCTTCGATGAAGCTTCAAAATCGTTTCGATGGAGCTTCAATCTGAATCTTCGATGGAGCTTATATCTGAATCTTTGATGGAGCTTCGAAATCGCTTCGTTGGAGCTTCGATCTAAATCTTCGATGGAGCTTAGATCTGAATCTTCGAGGAAGCTTCGAAATTGTTTCGATGGAGCTTTGAAATCGTTTCGATGGAGCTTCGAAATCGCTTCAATGGAGCTCAAAGAGGCGAGAGACAGAGAGAGACAAAGAGAGAGAGAGATGTGTGCCTATAAGGGTTTGAGAGATAGAAAGAGCTCAGATTGAAAATAAGGGATTCAAAAACAAGGCGCATGTGGCCACTGCATTTGGAGGCGTTTCTAAACGCCTCCTATTATAAAACGGTATCGTTTTGTTTAAAAGAATATGCGGCGTTTTATAAACGCCGTTAAATATTAATAACAATGACATTTATAAAAATGTCGTTAAAAAAACGCCACCATATCCACTTTTTCCTATACTGACCCCCCACACACATTTGTGAGAGAGAAGAAGGAAAAAGAAAAAAAACAAATAAAAAAATACATAAATAAATAATGAATGATTATAAATCAATTAGAGATGGTAGATGTCATAAATTTTGGGAGTCCCAAGTATTATTCCTTTTAACAAACATTTAGGCTTATTTGATTTATGGATTTGAGTATAAATTTAAAAAATAAAATAAAAAAATAGGTGAAATATAATATATTTCATTTATGTTTTACCCACCTTTTCATTTTCTTTTGTAGATCTTTATCCAAATTTATAAATCAACCAGATCATTAGGAATTTGAAAATGAAAAATAAAAAAGTGGGACACATTTTCTTTTTTTAAATCTGACTCAAATCTATGAACCAAACACAATGTTCGGGTATGAATTTCTGAATAAAAAAAAAAAAATTCATAATTCAATAAAAAATAATAAACCTAAAAATATATAATTCATTGTTCAATCAAAAAATAATAAGCTTGAAACGTTGCCACCGGCGGTTGGCCTGTGGCTGTGAGGCATGGGGACAAGTTAGCCAGCGACTAGAGAGGATGGGGGATGTGTGGCCGCCAGCCGACAAGAGAAGGCAGAACAGATGGAAGAGAGAGATTTTTTTGTTTTTAAGTGCCTTTTTAACTTAAAGATTAGACTCACTATTTTATTCAATGGTGTGACAGTGTCTTAGAATATCTAAGACAAGTCTTCCTCTTATGTTTTTTTAATTATTTTACGTACATAAAATTTTATTGTTTTGAAATAATGCATAGGATTTGAAGGCATTATATAGGTCCAACTTTTAGTTATAGTAAAAAAAAAATTAAAAAGTTATTATAAATTGTCATTTCATTCTCTTTAGTTTTTTACACTTCTTTTTATAAAAAATCAAAAAATTACTAAAATTTCCTAAACAATGCTTAAATAATGGGACTGACTTCTTTCCCATCTTTCATCATACTAGAAAGGTATTGTCCGGTTTAGTGGGACTATTTTTGGGTCCTGTTTTAATAATTTGAATCGTTCATATTTTTAGATTTGTTAAGTACATCATTCCTGAAAAAAATCAAGTCGATTGGATAACGGTAACCACGTGTTCGAATCAAGTTTGTATAAAAAAAATAAACAGTGAGAAAATAAACAGCTTATACAAAATTAATCCAAACATGTATTTTTCGTTATTCAATCGATTTGATTTTTTACATGAATGATATACTCGACGAACCTTAAAATATAAACGATTCAGATTATCGAAATAGGATCCAAAAACCAGCCAAATGAGTGGACTGAACTGTCTTGTACTTGGCAAATGCTAAAATAGCCAATTTTAGGCTAAAATCCACAAAAATACAAAATAAGTTAAAATAGCCAATAAGACAAAATATCACATCAAATCCATAATTATTTCACTTTTTATTTCACAAACATCACATCCAACAATAAAAAAAAAATCTAACCATCTTCTAAAACATAAAAATTTTAGCCTAGTAAAATGACAAAAAATTAAAATAGCCTACTATGGCTTTGTTTGGGAAGAAGCGTTGGGTGGATTTGGGGCTATTTTAGTCACAGAAAGACGAAATAAGCTTTTTAGCCCAATAAAATAAAATATCACATCCAACTTATAATCATTACATTCTTTCTCTCACAAAAAGTATAGCGGTCCCGGTTTTCCCTCCATTGATTATAGTATTCCGGACTTGAGTTCCGTGGTGTTGGTTGTTATTATGTCTTGTTTCCGTCCTTCAATTCTTTATATATGAGTTTTAGGATGTTTTGAGCAGGATTGTTACAGGTTGGTTGTGTTTGGGAGCAAATGGTTGCTGCCCAGAATTTTGGTCCTTCGCTCGAGCGAGCATTTTATCGCTCGAGCGAACTCTGTGTTTTAGATCCTTCACTCGAGCCAGGGTTCCTTTGCTCGAGCGAGAGTTGAGATTTGTATCTAGTGACTCGAGCGAGAAGTCCTTCACTCGAGCTTGCGTCTGCGTCCGGTTCTGGACCTGAGAGTTGCAATCCTTGGTTCGAACGAGCTTTCCTTTGCTCGAGCGAGCAAGGACAATGTTTTGGAGTTCTTCGCTCGAGCGAGCTGTTCTTCACTCGAGCGTGCTTCTGGGTTGCAGACCGGAAGCTTCAAATTATTGGCTTGAGCGAGGGTTCCTTGTGTCTGGTCGCTCGAGCGACCAATCCTTCGCTCGAGCGAGCCTGTGTTATATCAGTAGACAGCAGCGGGGAAACACTTTACTTTTTATCCTCTTTTGCTTTCAAAACCCTAGATTCGTCCTCTCTCTCTCTCTCTCTCTCTCTCTCTCTCTCTCTCTATACACCTTCTCTTTAGGGTTTCATCTATTTCTAGTGTGTTTCTACCGTAAGTTCTTTGTAAGAAAGATAGAGGGTTGTTTGGCCTACGTTTTAATCTGAAAATTTGTAGATTTGGAGCACTTTGGATTTTCACCATCTTCTCCTTTGGTTTCTTCATTTCAAGGTAGGGATACCCTACTCCATCTTATGAGTTTTTACATAAACTTTGATCATTTTGATTAGTCGGTATGTTGGGT